GAGAGAGGGAGACAGTGCAAGTGGTGGGGGGGGGAGTGATAGGGAGGGAGATAGAGAATACCAAGCAGGCTCCACGCTGACAGCACAGAGCCCAATGCAGAGCTTGAACCCACGAACTGTGAGATCACGACCTGAGCTGAAACCAAGAGTTGGATGCTTAACTGACTGAGCCACCCAGGCACCTCGAGGTCTGTATTTTAATCTACGTTTAACTCATTGCATATATTGCCTTTCCCATATTCATACAATTTTGGCCAACATTTTTGGTGTCTACATACCATCTTGTTTCTCCCCATCCTCACTGCCTCATTCTTTTCTATTCTCCACTAGATAGAGTAAATTTTATACTGAACATTTGAAATTTATACACTGTTTTTATTCTCCTAGTATATTAACAGCAATACTTAACACTTATGTTTTCCTGGCATTTTCTCAAGTTTATCATTATTAGCATCTCCACAAACAAGACACGTTCACCACTGTGAATGGTGCTAATTCACCACTGGAGTTGGGAGACTGGTGGTGGTGGCAGGGAGCCCCCCAGATCTGAAAGCCTCTGGTATAATAATATGTACCTCTACTCTGCCAACACTCTTTCTCTAAAATGATCTTCTACTCAGATATAGAGGGAATGAGAAGGAAGAAGGGGCACTCAGAAGCTAGACAGGCCATCTTCACAAGCTCACTTGAATACCACACCAATGTTATACTGCAGTACCTGCCCCCACCACTACCCCATGACTCATACCTGGCTAAACACTGCTCACAATGGTAATGGAACAATGATCCACCTAGAACACTGGGAGAGAAACAGTCACTGAAAAATATCCCAAACCACCACATGATGCCAAATCCTCCTTTATTCTGAGTTGTTTCATATATACACATATATTCAGATTCCACACAAGGAGGCATTATAGCATTATGATCAAGAACATAAGTTTCGGAGTTTCAATTGATCAGACTCTGAATCCCAGGCAGTAAGTCATGTAACCTCCATCTCTCCAAGCTTCAGTGTGCCACCTATAAAACATTATGACAATTCTTATTTGCTAGAAGATTACTGTAATGCTAACTAAGAAAATGAAAGAAAGTATACACCCCTGCATGATACGCAGAAAGCATTTAATGTTAGGTATTATCAAATATGTTTTTTAACTAGATTATCTCTCAAATGCACTCTAGCCCTAAGGGTGTATTACTAACTCTAAGTATACTGGGGAAGTCAAAACTCTAGTTTGAAGAGCACAGCATATTGGGGCGCTTGGTTGGGAATGCAAGCAGAAGGTGCATGTCAAACAACAATGCCTAAGCTCCAGTGCCTAAACATGCTAGAGCCTGGGCAGTTCTTTACTTTGTGCTGGATGCTGAGTCTGACCAACTCTGAAAGAAAAGCCACTTCCTATAAACTGTCAGTAAGAAATGGATGATACCATTCACCTATAATAAACAGAACTCTAGGGACGCCTGGGTGTCATCTGATACTTGATTTTGGGTCAGGTCATGATCTCAGAGTTTATGAGATCAAGCTCTGCACTGAGCATGGAGCCTGCTTGGGATTCTCTCTCTCTCTCTCTCTCTCTCTCTCTCTCTCTCTCTCTCTCTGCCCCTACCCTGCTTGTGTGTATGGGCATACTCTCTTTCTCTCTCTCAAAATAAACATTAAAAAAATAAAAAATAAATAGAATTCTAAAATTAAATGTTCTGGAAAAGAAAAAAATTGTATTACTTTGAGGCAATAAGGCTTCCATTATTTTAACATACTGATAAAATCAGCTCTGCTCATTGAGAACTCAAACAAAATAAATTCATTGTAAGGTCCATGGTACGTCATCAAGACTTAGAAACAAGAAAGTGGGCATAAAATAGAAAATTTCTTGAAAATATTATAATTTCCTGAAAGTCCCAGGGTATTAGTGAGAGTGGCCCCAAGTGCCAATCAAAAGTAATGTGCTAATTTAAAACTTCATGTAACTCTCAACAATAAAAACAACAATCCTTATCTTACCTAATCCATACCATTAATCTGAGGATCACATAAAACAACAGAGATCAAATAAAAGTGCTTATAAATATTTAAAAATATTTGAAATCCACTGACATTTAATAATTCCCTCTAAATTCAGAGGAGAGCTACATAATTAAACATCTATTCTAGCCACAAAAACCTTAGGAAGCTGGTACTATCATTATCCTCATTTACAGATGAGGAATTAAAGGATTAAAGAGGTAAAGTAATTCATCCAACATCACATAACTAATGAACACAGACAGTTGCATTTCAAATTTAGGTCTGACTCCAAAGCCCATGCTTTTAACCACTATGTTACTAGATCCAGACCACTTCTGTGAAGGTTAACAGATTAGAAGAGATGTTCATAAAACAGGAGCAATTCCAGAGATACTATATATATTGTACACTGCCCATCACAAGAGGGCCTCATTCCCTGGACCATGAACAGGAAAAAAAAAAAAAAAAGAAAAGAAAAAAATCAGGTCTTTTCCCATATCCCCATTTTACTTTAAGGATTTTTAAAAACTCCTTGATCCATGTTCTTTTTCACACATGCTTAGTGATGTGAGCATTAGATCAAAGTCCAAGACAGCTGAAGAAATGAGAACTAGATCAGTTAAGAACAAATTACAGAAAATATATGAGAATTTGTTCAAAGAGCTGGTTCAAACTGCCTTTTATTGGGCTCTCATAAGAAAGATGCTTTGGAAAAAGTGACCCTGGTCAAATGTCACCAATGTAATTTGAGAAAAAAAAGTACATGCTAACAAACAGGCATATCACATTCATATAATCATTCTAGATTCAAAAGGTAAACATTAGCTTTTACACTGTCATCCTTTTGGATGAGATAGTCATATTTGAGCAATTTGTCCTAGTAACTTATAGGGGTAATCACTGAAACTCAGTTACTTCCATAATGGCTAAAAACAAATATAAGAACCATTCAAGAATGACCACAAATAGTCTTTAGTCTCTATGGTACAAGAAATCAATCACGAGCCCATCTGTGTGAGACCTAGCGAATAAGAACATTATTTGAGAGGGGTACAAAGAAAAGGATGGATTGCCAAGAGGAAAAAGTAATTTATTAGACTGTGACAAGCTTTTAAATGTTTGCATTATCATTAACCAACTGCCTGGTTCTCTGATTCACACACTTGCCACCACCAGCCAATGCTATCACAGTAGTAAACTTGGACGTAGGCTCACCTCTAAAACACTGGCACCCTCTTCTGACCTTTATGCAGTACTGCATGCACACCAGTTACTGGGGTGAAAAATTCTAATAAAGCCATTAGTAATTTTGCAGGTAACATTTTCCAGATAATTTTATATTTGTAATTCCCTGGATGAACATAAAATTAGCTTAATAAACATATGAAAGAGCATATCTTCTAAACAAAGTTTATGCCAATGAAGAGAAAACCAACTGTGTTCTCTTAATATTTTCAGAGATTATATATTAGCTGATTTTCTTACAATAGCAATAATGATGACAATAACGAATAGACAAAGATTTTATTGCGTGCCAGGCACTAGGCTGATGAGGCAGACACTCCTACTCTTGTCATCTTACAGAGGTGGGGAAAGTGAGGCACAATGAAGTTAAATAACCCAGGATCATGTACCTGAGAATAAGTGGTAAAGCTGAATTTCAAACTATGGCCCTGCAGCTAAAACCTAATTTTATCCAAAATATCCCTGTGAGGGAAAATGAAGTTATCATGATAACATGAGACATGACTGATATAGAAACAGTATAGGTTATAAGGAAAATTACAAACATATCATCCAAATCCCTCATTTTCAGCGAAGTCCCAAACTGTACAAAAATAAAATATTACATGAAAGAGTTTTGGCCATTTACCCATTCCTCCTCACTTGAAGATTCTCAATCTTCTGGGTCTATGTTTTTATACCTTCTTTTTACTCCTAATTCCTCTTTTCCCTTTTCCCTAACTATGCCCTTATTTACCTATCTGGTTCTTTAAATGAAAAGAAAAAAAACTAATCCACATTGTATGCCTTTTCTTCTATAAAGCAGAACTACTTGGGGCACCTGGGTGGCTCAGTCGGTTAAGCGTCCGACTTCAGCTCAGGTCACAATCTCACGGTCCGTGAGTTCGAGCCCCGCATCGGGCTCTGGGCTGATGGCTCAGAGCCTGGAGCCTGCTTCAGATTCTGTGTCTCCCTCTCTCTCTGCCCCTCCCCCGTTCATGCTCTGTCTCTCTCTGTCTCAAAAATAAATAAAAAACGTTAAAGCAGAACTACTTACCTATTTCTACCTAAATTCCCTATTTCACTATATCTTTAAAAAAATATTTAAGATAGTAAATCAAAATAACATCATCAATTCCTTCTCTTTGATCATTACAATTATGACAGATTCTCATCTGTATGGAATTATTTAGGGTATTCCTACCTAAAATCAGGGCTGAAAAACTAAATAATCTAAGATCTCTAAAAATAATAACTTTATTTTCAAACAGGAAATGAAGGCACATCATCTAACAATCTATTATTCAAAACAAGATCTAAAACACTTCTAGATTCTGCAGTTTGCCTACATAAAGCTATTCATTATATCAAAAATTAAGAACACTTAATAATCTAAACACAGGGTAACCAAGGTCACTGTCATTCACGACTAGAAAATTCACATGGGTCAGAACAAAATACTCATTTAGATTTCTTTTTAACAACTATCGTTATATTTCATAATGTTAGAAGCACAAACTTAGGGAACGTCTAAAGAATTAAAAACATGCACAAACTGCACCAGATTTAATTTATTAGATCTAAGAACTGAAACAAGATAGTTACATTTTTACTGCAGTAACTGATCACACTGCTAAAGAATTAATCATTACATCATTCATATCTCCCAAATCTAACAAAAACAGCACAGGTAAAGGTGCCAAGGAATTGGCACGTGAAAGGTGCCAAGGAATTGGCTCCCTGAAAATTCCAGAATTCATTTTACCTCAGTCTGTAGGATGGCAGCCCTTTGTTCTTTAGCAGTCAAGGACTCCTTCAGCACTTCAATGTGTTGCTTACTGTCTGAAAACTGGTTTGTGAGTGTTTCTAGCTTTGTCTGTAGGGCTAGTAGTTCTGTGTCCTTTCTGGACAGCTCCTGCTTCACCTGACCAATCTAGAGGAAAAAACAGAACATTGTAAGTAAAAAAGAAATGAAACAATCACCTCTGATCTGAGTCTTTTTGACAGATCTGAGTCACAAAATACTAACTATAGCATTAGTTTTATGAGAAAACACAATTTATCTTTTTGTATCACCTAATCTTGGATAACCACCCACCACAAAAAACAACAACAACAACAACAAAAAAAAAAAAAAAAAAAAAAAAAAAAAAAAAAAAAAAAAAAAAAAAAAAAAAAAAAAAAAAAAAAAAAAACCAGGTTTTCAACAAATAGGGATATCCCAGTTTTCAATTATTGTGTTTCCTAAATACTCTTCAAAATCTCTTAGAAAAAGAAGAGACAGAGAAAAATCCCAATTCAATTAGACTACTATGAGATAGCAGGAAGCACCTGAATACTATTGTGCTGATCAGTTTTCATTTTATTAAGTCAGACCTCTTAAAACATAAAGCAGGATTAGTGTAGATATAAAACAGAAGGAAAAAAGAAAACCTCCTAGCATTGCCATTTAAAGCGAAATTCGAAAGCTGCTGCTAGTATACTTTTTATTTTTTCATTCACAAACAATAGTTTACATAAAATCCTTATCTTAAAAAGCCACCATTAGTGTTTTAAGGCATTATAAACCTGTGCCTTTTAGAAATCACATAATTTTGAGGAGTTAGAGATACTGACCTAAAAAAAGATTCCACCAACAAAGTTCTATCATCTACAACACGTCGTATGAACTAAATGGATAAAAGTATATGACTTAAATGCATAAAAGCTCAGCCATAAGAATCTACATGTGTAATTTGAATCTGAATTATCTGACAGAAAATCTGTAAGTCAAGAGGTGTCCATTCATTCTCCCATAAATTTCTCATCTTAACTTTAAAAAATTTTTATTTCAGGGGCGCCTGGGTGGCGCAGTCGGTTAAGCGTCCGACTTCAGCCAGGTCACGATCTCGCGGTCCGTGAGTTCGAGCCCCGCGTCGGGCTCTGGGCTGATGGCTCAGAGCCTGGAGCCTGTTTCCAATTCTGTGTCTCCCTCTCTCTCTGCCCCTCCCCCGTTCATGCTCTGTCTCTCTCTGTCCCAAAAATAAATAAAGGTTGAAAAAAAAATTAAAAAAAAAAAAATTTTTATTTCACACATCTCATTTACATCTAAGAATTTTCTAAATAGTCTGTTATTGTAAATGTACAACAAATAAACAAAAATCAGAATTGCTTTTACATTCTGTCTAGTGCCTAGCAAGGTAGCTAGCTGTGCACTAACAGATTAATGACCAGAAGTATAAATCCCATAAGAAGTCCATAATTTATTTCAGCATTACTGATGAACTGAAAAGTACTTTGTATTTTTTTTACATCTACAGAATCTGTACTATAATAATCTGAGGTATAAAGGACAATTTTGAGAACAATTTCACATGAGGAAGTGTGAAATAAATATTACTTTAATTAAAATTACACTTTTGGGATGCCTGGGTGGCTCAGGCAGTTAAGCGTCTGACTTCAACCCAGATCATGATTTTGCAGTTCATGAATTTGAGCTCTATGTCAAGCTCTGTGCTGACAGCTCAGAGCCTGGGGCCTGCTTCAGATTCTATGTCTCTCTCTCTCTCTCTCTGCCCCTCCCCCACTCATGCTTTGTCTCTCTCTCTCTCTCTCTCTCTCTCTCTCTCTCTCTCAAAAATAAATAAAAATATTTTAAAAATAAAAAATAAAATTAGACTTTTAAGGAGCACTAAAAATTAATTTCTAATTTACTCTTCTTGCTTAGCAACAAGACAAGCCTTTTCTCATATGCATGAAAATTCTATTTGCAGATTTAATTAATTATTCATTCATTCAACAAATATTTCTATATGTTTATTGTATGCAAACTACTATAGGATACTAAGAATGTCAGTGGAAGATAACTGTAAATGGCAGCTATCTTCATCCTGTAATATACAGATGTACCCTGAGTTACCACATACTGTAATGCTGTGGCATCTTTCATGACATCCCTTTCCTAACAAAAAACACATATTAGTATTTTTCTATCCTTAACATACAGGTTGCACTAAAAATACACTTATGGTATGAATTGATTAGGAGAAATGTTTAAAATTTTATCACTTCCTCAGCTAAAGAACTATTACGGCTTAAAGATTACTCAAATTTCCAACTACTTCCAATCATGTGATTAAAAATAAATATAAAATCCTTGTTTCCTCAGCATCTACATTTTTAAATGATCTTCAAATATTACTATATTGACCATAAAGAATGAAAAAGGAAGAAAATATTCTAAATGGAAAGCAGAGTTTAGAAGCACACATTTTCAATAAAAGTTAGGAGCACAAGGCTTTGCAATCACACCTGAGGATAAGTGTGTCTTTGAGTAATTACCTTTCTAAGTCTTGTTTTCCTAATCAGTAAATGGAGCAAGTAAACTAATGTTACTGTATTTAGACATTAAATAAAATAATGTATGGAATGTTGTTTGGTATAACAAAGAAATATTTATAATAGGTAAGAAAAAAAAAGTAAAGTTATAGATCAACTACTCCTCTAGATAATACAGTTACTGTAAACCAAAACCAAATTAGTCCCTTTTAGACAAAATATGTCACTTTATTATCTGTATTATAAACTGGTCCATAAATAGCAAAATATCAAATTAGCACAAGTTTTGTTTTGTTTTGTTTTGTTTTAATAATGCTGCATTCCTGTCTTATCCCACAATTACTTTCAGGAGCAGTTTTTCCTGACATTTGTGTGACATATGTGCACATGGCCTAGCCACAGAGCAGTAAGTAGACTGAAGAGCTTACCAGCACGGGTTCTGGAATCAGACTGCTTACATAAAAATCAAACTCTGCCTCTAACTATATTTCTTTTTTTTTTTTTAATTTAAATTTTAGTTAACATACAGTGTGATACTGGTTTCAGGCACTAGTTATATTTCCTAAGCACCACTCTGTTACCTCAGTTTCCTCATCTATAATTTGGGGGTGATAATATACCTACCTTAGCAGGTTATAAATGCTTACATGTTAGCTACTTTATTATTTTTTTATTATATTTTGAAATGGAATTTAAGTTCTTTAAACAGAAGATTAAACTAGATTTAGACACTTAAAGTATGTTTCATGCTAATTCTAATTTACTAGATAACTCTAAATAAGCAAATCACTTTCTATATATCTGTTCTAAAAAAAAGTAACATCTGTTGTAAAATCCCTAATGGTGACTTAAAGATAATACATATGAAGTTAAAGCACTTTACTCAAGAATTTCAAATTCTATGAGAGTCGATATTAAAAGTTCTCATCACAAGAAGAAAATAAAATTGTAACTATGCATGGGTACTATGTAGGATGTTAACTAGACTTACTGTAGAGGTCAGATAGATAGATATATCTCAAATCATTATGTTGTACATGTATCAATTATACCTCACTTTTAAAAAAAAGAATTTTAAATTCAGATAAACACTACAACCTAGAACATCTACATATTCTTATACCAAAGAAGAGAGATCATCATTCATATAAACAGCAAGTATCTACAAAAGGAAAGGACTTAAGAAAAAACAAATTTTGAAGTACAATCCATACAGTGACAAAAGCAACAATAAAGAACCAGATATAGGGCTTCCAGAACATGTGAAGGCTCACTGCACACAAAGTGACATATGGGTCAAACTGGTGAACATGAGTCGGTTAAAGAGCAGAGCAGGCTGGTTAGTGCTAGTATTGGGCAAAGCTGCCAACCAAAGAGAATGAAAGTATAAGCCACCCAGAAGCCAGAGCCAGCAGGGTCCCACTGTGGGATCACTGCTCACAAAGAGTAAATCTTACGGCAAAGACCTCAGCCTGAAGACCAGCCGCTCTCTTTTTCAGCTCCTCCCCTTGAGCCTCTTTCGAACTTAGCTCCTCCTTCAGTTGTTCTACCTGTCACGACATTGTTATTCTTTTTCACTTATGTGTCAATTTAGGTATTATCTGCTTTTCAGCCAGAGCAGTAACTGGAAATGACAATAATTTAAATAACACAATCAAATCTGTTCCCTTAATTCCCTCTTCAAAGCACCCTAGATGATTCTCTATTTTCATTCACAGGATTTTTTTAAATGGACTCAAATGTACCCATCAGCAAATGGAAAGCAGAAATTATACTGTAGCATATTTTGTTCTCAAATCAGCGTGAAAAATACAAACTAACAGAAAGTTGGATATGTGAATTGTTAAGTTCTAAAATTAATATAAATTGTCAATAGTCACTGATAACAGATTCTTAAAATAATAAAGGAATATTTTACAGACTTTTATGCCAGGTATGGATACCACAGCAAGAAACTAGAAACCAGAGAGGGAGTTAGAATAATGGTGTATCATTCCTTTATAGTTTTCTGTTCTGAGAAACTGGGGAACTAATACAATTGGGATGCAGGAGGTATTTATTTTCTAGCTAATATTTTATCATCACAATTAGGTTTTTAATTAAACCAAAACAAACCTGGCAAATTGATAGCCGTAATAAACTAGATCTTCCAATTTGCCTAAATAGGTATAGAATCAAACTAAATGGCTTTGGATCTAAGGAAAAAATATTGTGCCTAGTTAATACATATGAACTGACATGTCTCTCTGGTATGTATCCTACTATAGATATATCAGAAGTACACATGGGAAACAATAAACCTGATACAAATGGATCTTTTCTAGGGAACGGACCAAAGGGCCTTCCTTTTTATGTAACTGTATTTGAAAGGAAAACATGATTTAAGACATTTCAGGAAAAAAAAAAAAAGGTAGGGGGACTGGGTTCAGCCTCTCAGGGTTTGACTATTAAAATACAACTACACAAGAGGTAAAGAACTTGGTGTCTCATGTTGTGAGAAAAACTCAATTTGATGGAATTTATTGAATCACCTCTGAAGTACTAACAGATATAAATGTTAAACTGTGACAATACATATCAGCATTATACGATGAATAATTTTCTTTTAAGGGAAAACTTGAAATAACTATATCAGTAATTCTGACTTTAATTCTGGGAAAGTTCAATTCGAAAGAATTATAAGTCTTCTTCCCTGAAGTTTGATAAAACAATGTGAAGCTCTTCATCATCACTAAGGAAACAGAAATATGCATCAACTTCTCAAACCTCTTTTAAAAATTACAGTATCACACACCATTACCTTATTTTTCATAAATTTAGAATGGCTCCGATAGACTTCCATTTGTTTCATTTCTTCCTCCCGTTCTTCAGTACTCAAGGCTCCATTTGATTTCAGCATCTGAATTTCCTCTTCCAAGTCTCGGAGTCCACGCTCCATGGAGGAAATTTTTGAATCCTGAAGACAATGGAAGATTTAGACATTATTCACAAAGAATCAGAGAAGTTGAAAATCTCAGTCTTTACAGATGTTGGATTTAATAAAGATAAATATGCAGGAAAACTGCTGTCTAGCAACTGGTGTCTTGCTTCTAAATTAATATATCCTTTATGGCCACTTAGGTGAAAGGAAGATAGCTCGTATCTATAAAATGATTTTTCCTCTGTCTCCTCCTCCAGTCTGCACCCTTTTGTTTAAAGTTGAGAGTATATGGGCGCCTGGGTGGCTCAGCTGGCTGGGCATCCGACTTTGGCTCAGGTCATGATCTCACAATTCGTGGGTTCGAGCCCCACATCAGGCTCTGTGCTGACAGCTCAGAGCCTGGAGCCTGCTCCGGATTCTGTGTTTCCCTCTTTCTCTGCCCCTCCCCTGTTCAAACTGTATCTCTCTCTCAAAATATAAACATTAAAAAAATTTTTTTTAAATAATAAACATTTAAAAAAAATTTAATGGAGTCCACCCTCTCAAACCCTGCTGCTACTTTATCAACTAAGATTATGTAATATTCTAAATACTTGGTTGTCATTTCAACAATCTTCACGGCATCTTCACTAGGAGTAGAGTCCATCTTAAGAAACCACTCACTTTGCTCCTCTATAAGAAGCTACTCCTCATATGTTCAAGTTTTAGCATAAGAGTCAAGAAACTCAGTCACATCTTCATGCTCCACTTCTGATTCTAGTTCTCTTGCTATTATCTACTCCATTTGCAGCTCTTCTTCCACTGAAGTTTTGGACCCCTCACAGTCATCCAAGAGGGTTGGAATCAACTTCTTCCAAACTCCTGTTCAGGTTGAGATTTTTACTTCTTCCCATGAATCACAAATGTTCTTACTGGCATCAGGAATGGCAAATCCTTTCCATAAGGTTTTCAATCTACGTGGCCCAGATCTTTCATAGGAATCACTATCTATGGCAGCTGTAGCCTCACAAATATATTTCTTAAATAATAAGACCTGAAAGTCAAAATGACTCCCTGATCCATGGGCTGCAGAATGAATATTTTGTCAGTATGCATGAGAACAACAATAATCTCTTTGTACATCTCCATTAGAGCTCTTCAGTGAGCAGGTGCATTGTCAATTGAACAGCCATATTTTTAAGGCAATCTTTCTCTCTGTAGTAGGTCCCAACAAGCAGGCTTAAAATATTCAGTAAACTATGCTGCAAACAGATGTGCTGCCATCTAGGCTTTGTTTACAGAGCACAGCCAGAGTAGAATCAGCATAATTCTTATGGCCCTCGGAGTTTTTGGAATGATAAATGAGCACTGGCTTCAACTTAAATGTCACTGGCTGAGTTAGCCCCTAACAAGAGAGCCAGCCTATCTTTTGAAGCTTTGAAGCCAGGTACTGACTTCTCCTCTAGCTATGAAAGTCCTAAATGGTTTCTTCTTCCAATAGAAAGCTGTTTCATATAGGGGTGCCTGGGTGGCTCAGCTGGTTAAGCATTTGACTTCGGCTCAGGTCATGATCTCATGGTTTGTGGGTTCAGGCTCTGCGTCAGGCTCTGAGCCATCAGCCCAGAGCCCGACGCGGGGCTCGAACCCACGGACCGCGAGATCGTGACCTGGCTGAAGTCGGACGCTTAACCGACTGCGCCACCCAGGTGCCTCTTAACAATTTTTTAATTAACAATAAAAAAAAAAAGAAAGTTGTTTCATTTACATTGAAAATCTGTTGTTTAGTGGAGTCACCTTTATCAATGATCTTAACTAGGTCTTCTGGATAATTTGCTACACCTTCTCCATCAGTACCTGCTCTTTTACCTTGCACTTTTATGTTATGGAAATGGCTTCTTTCCTTAAACTTCATGAACCAACCTCTGTTGGTTCAAACTTTTCTTCTGCAGCTTCCTCACCTCTTTCACCCTTCACAGAACTGAAGAGACTTAGAGCCTTGTGCTGGATTAGGCTTTGGCTTAAGTGAACATTGTAGCTGGTTTTATCTTCTATCCAGACCACTAATACTTTCTCCATATGAGCAATAAGGTTGTTTCACTTTCTTATCATTCGTGTGTTCACTAGAGTAGAACCTTTCGTTTCCTTCAAGAACTTTTCCTCTGCATTCACAATTTGGCTGTTTGGTGCAAAAGGTCTGGCTTTCAATCTATCTCAACTTTGGACATGCCTTTCTCACTAAGCTTAATCATTTCTAGCTTTTGATTTAAAGTGAGAGATATGAGCCTCCTTTCACTTGAACACTCAGAGACCACTGCAGGGTTATTATTTGGCCTAATTTCAGTATCGTTGTGTCTCAGGGACTAGGGAGGCCCAAGGAGAGGGAGAGAGACGGGGGAACAGCAGGTCAGTGGAATAGGCAGAATGCACACATTTGTCAAGTTTGCCATCTTATATGTGCACAGTTTGTGGCACCCCAAAACATTCAGTAGTAATATCAAAGACCACTGATCACAGATCACCAGAACAGTAATGAAAAGTTTGAAATATTGGGAGAATTACTAAAATGTGACACAGAGACACGAATTGAGCAAATGCTATTGGAAAAACAGTGCCAAAAGACCTGCTTGATGCAGGGGTACCATAAACCTTCAATTTGTAAAAAATACAGTTTCTGCAAAACACAATAAAGTGAAGCAATAAAACGAGGTATGCCTGTAAACTATTTCAATTGCACTATCTGAAAATTCACCTTTAACATTATAATAAATCTTCCTAGAAAGATCAGGATGTAGTCCCTTAAGAATAACTAAAGAAGCACCTGGGTGGCCCCGTCAGTTGAGCATCCAGCTCTTGATTTTGGCTCAGGTCCTGACCTCACAGTTTGTGGGATCAAGCCCCACATCAGGCTCCATGCTGACAGCACAGAGTGATTCTCTCTCCCTTTCTCTCTGCCCCTCCCCCCCCAAAACAAATAAACTTAAAAAAAAAAAAAAGGAATAATAACTGAAATACTAGGCATACACATGCGACTAACCTGCAAATGAAATGTGTTACCTCTGACATTAGTTTGGGGAGGGGAAGATGGATAATGAAAGGGAGCCAGTGGAAAGAAGGAGTGTATTTCTAGCATCACTGGTGCTTCACACAAGACAAAATCACCTTCAGCAATCAACTCAAGCTCCACACATCACACAGACAGCCTCTAACTCTACAAAGCCGCCATAAGGCCCCCAAGACACATTATCCATTTTCTCCTCTAACTCCAACACAAACACATGGGCAGCTCTTGACCAAATCAGCACCCTCACTACCAAATCATGTCCCATAAAAGCTTCTCCCCAAAAGGGACCAAACTGTAACTGAAAGTCACGAAGAAGGCACTGACTGCCCAGATAAGAGACGTGTCAGGCTACTCGCTGAAATCAGGACAGAAAAGTAGTATCTGATACGCTCAACTAATTCTAGCACCAACTCAATCAGACTGAGACTGGGTTTATTTGAGAACAGTCCTTCCAACAAGGTTTCTTACTCCTACAATGTATAATAACTAAGTAAATAAATTCCTTTTCATCTTACCACTCTGTACTTGCCCAGCTCTGGGTCTCCCCATCATTAATCAGCCAATTCCACTAACCTATTGAAATCCCCTGTTGCTTGCTAAATTTCCCAAATCCTCACTTTTTCTTTTTCAAAAGTTGTCTCCCTACCCCAAGTAAAACCTGGCTTTCCAAAAGGATGTAATTTCCCTGAACTCTCTCCAATGAGGGTCACTAATTCCCCAGTACCAGAAAGGAGCAGGGGAAAAAGTATAGGCAACCTCCCAGTTCCTCAATGCCGCTCCCTTTATTTTATAGCTCATACTCCTTTTCACTCTACCCCCTCCTCACTACTTCCCCATCCCTCTTGGCCATTTGAAAAACGTCTTTGGCACCTGGCTCACAATCAATCTTCCCTTCAAATGCCACTCTTGCCATCATCCTAGGATTTCAGTGTCTGAATTTCAATGACCTCAACCACCAGTCCACTTCAGCTATCCAGTCGACAGGACTACCCTCTGGATCCTATCATCACCCAGGCCTACTGCAGGCTTCTCCCCAGGCCTAGTGCACCATCATCCTCTATTTGCCATTCCTCAACCTCACAGAGATCTTCACCTCACTAATGGTCACATTTTCTCCCAACCTGTCAGTACAGTCTGAATTCTCTTCCTTTCTATCCACACTACATTCTTGGACTGATCATGCAAACTCCTCTCTCACCATCATCCTCAATTCATGTGCATTCCAATAATTCTGCCATTATCTACCCAGCAAAACTGTAACCTATAGCAGTACAGTAATTCTTCCCTGTTCCTCCACTGCGAAAGGAAAAAGAAAAAAAATTAGAGGAGGAGGAAGCAGAAGGGGAAGTGGAGAAGGAGAAGATGGAAGGAGGGAAGAAAGCAAGAGAAGGAAGGCGAAGGCAAAGATAGGAGGAAGAGGAGGAAGAAAAGGCAGAAGAGAGAAAAAAGAAAACTACATCATCTTGAAGATATTTGGGCTCTTTTACTGTCTATCAATCATCTTCTTTTCCCATTTCCCCCCAAGACTATTCTAGATCTTCATAATTCTCTCAGGATCATGCCACACTCTCAGCAACTCAACTATTTCAGCTGTGATTTCAGGATAGCATCCACCTGACCAAACTGGGCCACCATTATCTCAGGCTTTCTTAACAGAATGGCCAAAAGTTAACACAACTTAAAATAGCTCCACTGCCTGTTAATTATTACACTTCCACATTCTATCAAAAGGCAAGTAAAAGAATTTTGGAAACATAGGTATATTCATGTGTTTTATTCTTACGTTTCAACAGGGCTCAGGAAATAAAACATACAAATAGATTTGTGGGAAATAAGAACATACAATTGAACCTTTCTAAAGACTCTTTACAAGATTATGCTCAAGACTACTAATTGCCTAACTACAAAGAACCCAGAATTCCACTAATTCAGAATTTGTTTGGTAAATCTTTCCCCACTGGAAATAAAAATAGACACAAATAAACAAAATTTTAGAATGAAATCATTTAAATTCAGAGATAAATTCTTATAACCGTACTTAAGAAGCATCTCTCTACATAAAACTATATACTAATAACTAAATATTCTTGTCATACCAACAACTATTGAATAAAAGCCCACAAAACAAAAACAGTGTCAAACTTTTTAGGGAATAGGAAGAAGCTAAGATTTAGGGAATATGAAGAAGCTAAGACTTACCTATAAGTCTTTCAGCTTTTGTAAGAAAGAGTATGTTGTTTAAAAAAAAAAGAATATGTTTTTCATAAAAATAATAACAGGAGCAGCAGCTAACAGTTTACTATATGCCAGGTAGTATTCAAAGTGTTTTACTTGCTATAACTAATTTAAACCTCAAAACAACCTATGGGATACATACTATTACTATCGCCTTCTAGCCATAAAGAAATTGAGGCATAGAGAGGTTAGGAATTACTTGCTCTATTGTCATACAATTGATTCAAGTAAAGCCAAATTTTGAATCCAAGGAATTTAAGAAGACAAGTCTTAATCAACCTAACATAAAGCCTAAAGATTTCTACCTATTCATTAACTTAAAGCAGAGGTTTACAAAGCATGGTCCATGTTCTATGTTCTGGATCCCCCCAGACCTTTTCAAGAAGTCTGCATAGTCAAAACTATTTTCATAATAATACCATGATTTGATTTGCCCTCTCCACTATGTTACCATTTGCACTTCAGGTATAAAAGCAATGGTGGGAAAAAACTGCTTGTGTCTTAGGACAACAGGCAATAGCACCAAACCATGCTAGCAGTGACTGCACTCTTCAGTATCGGGTACTCACAGAAAAAAAAAAAAAATTATTAAAAAAAGCTTTTTGTTTTTGTTTTTGTTTTTTAAGTAAGCTCTAGGCCAAATGTAGGGCTTAAACTCATGACCTCGAGGTATCTCACGACCTCGAGGTATCTCACGACCTCGAGGTCAAGAGTCGCATGCTCGACCAATTGAGCTAGCCAGGAGCCTCAAGAAATAAAAATTTTAAAAGACTACTTCCTTCGGGGGATGCCTGGGTGGCTCAGTCAGTTAAGCGTCCAACTCTTGATCTCAGCTCAGGTCTTGATCTCAGGGTCATGAGTTCAAGCTCCACACTGCACTCCATGCTGGGTGTGGAGCCTACTTAAAAAATTTTTAAAAAAGACTGCTTCCTTTGAGAATGTCCTTAATGAAGCAGTAAAAATTATTACTTTTAATTAATCTCAAACCTTAGGAACACATCTTTTTAATATTCTGTGTGATGAAATGGGAAGGAGCTAGGCACTTCTGCACATTGAAGTATGATAGTAGTTCCTTAGAATAGCACTTGTGTGCCTCTTTGAATTGCAAGCTGAATTAGGTAGTTTTTTCATGGAACATCATTTTTTTTTTTTTTTTTTTTAAATGTAAGCTTTCTGCTCGTCAATTTTTTTTTTTTTTTCAACGTTTATTTATTTTTGGGACAGAGAGAGACAGAGCATGAACAGGGGAGGGGCAGAGAGAGAGGGAGACACAGAATCGGAAACAGGCTCCAGGCTCTGAGCCATCAGCCCAGAGCCTGACGCGGGGCTCGAACTCACGGACCGCGAGATCGTGACCTGGCTGAAGTCGGACGCTTAACCGACTGCGCCACCCAGGCGCCCCTGATGGAACATCATTTTTACATGAAAGAACAATTGACAAACTATGGTTACTAGAGTGAATATTAGGCAGACATTTTCTAAAAATAAATGAATGAGCTTGTCATTTTAAAAGAATAAAAGGGTCCTGAGATCAAAAGGCTTAAACACAGCCAATTTAAAGGAATTCTGGACAACTTTTTGGTCCCATCTGACTTATGATCTATAACTAAAAGGGAATAAAACCAAAGTTCTTTCAAAGTGTCTTTTCACTGTCTTAATATTTCTTCTTAAATCTACAAAATAAGCAAAATATTGTTACATACCACTTTCTAAAACTCACACATGAAAGTATGTAATCACTTCAAAGTGTAAACTGACTCATAAGCTTCTTTGGAGACTCTTACTTACCTTCATTTCAATAACAGTTTGCAGAGCTTTTGTTTTGGCAGAATCAGGAGCATTCTCAAATCTCCGATGCATCTCCTATACAAGAGAAGCAAAAGAGAGTAAGTGTCTCCTTTTCACTCTTATTTTTGCTCATGGGGAGGGTAGGGAAGGACAGGGAAGAGGGAATAATTGAGTAAAACAGATGATAACCCCAGTCCCGTGTGACACTTTGATCCCTGTCTACCAGACCTTTCCCAGCAGATCAGAGAAGGCTAGGGAGGTATGTGGGTCAAATACACAGGCATGAAGAGTCCCCATCTCGAACACCTAGTTATTTAAATTTAGTCACAGAGATGACATTAGAACAACAGATGAAAACTACACCACAACCCCAGATTGGTGTATCAATCCTCCACATGACTCTAAGATATACAAATCAGAACTCCAAACAATCCAAAAGGAAGATTAGAAATAGTCTTTTTTCAAAGGAGAAATAAAGGTAGTCACAATCAGTCTGCATCGCACAAAGCTGCTTTTAGTAGCTTTTAGCATTTGTGTTAACCACGTCCTTTCCATAACATACACACCAGAGTAACAACCTGGCTACCTATGATGAAAATCTCTCTCCAATAGGGCAACAACTGGGAAGAAAAAAGAAGATAAGGCTGTTGGACAAGTTTCCTAAGTAGTTCATATTTAAATTTATAAAATGTCATAAAAACATAGCTATTCTTTTTAATCTAAATTTTAGTGAGTTCAGAATCAGGAAGAAAGGAACTGATGGTAGTAATATCACATTCATGGCCTTCAAGGGTTACAGCAAAGTTATTGGACCACCTCAGGCTATTTCCTGTCAGATTTTGTGAGAATGTCTTTGAGTTAATCAGTCAACATTTTCAAAATACTCTGAGACAACTTCTAGTGACCCAAGAATACACAGACGAATACTTTCCATCTGAACCATACTTAACCATAACAAAAGGAATGTATAATAGTTTAATTACACCTTTCACCTAATTTATTCATTCTTGCCTGACCAGAAAGAATGGTTTGAGAAAAAGAAAACAGAACTGCACACTTCACTGAGTTACCTCTTTCTGAAAGACCGAAAGAACTGATAAAAGTTCTAAATTATAAACAGTTTAAACACCAGTTTAAACACCAGTATCTTCTTAACATCCACATTCACACCAGCTGGCTGCTGAAAGTATAGTGCAAACCACTATTAATACATACCACCCTTTCTGACCACGCTTTCTGCTACTTTTCTCCCTAACTCCAGCCTTAAATATTCAACAAGGTATTCCATCCACATGTGTGACAAACACCTCAAACTCTCCAGGCCCAAGAGTAAACTCTTGGAGGTGCTCCAAAAGCTGTTCCATCCTTCCACATACTCAAGTGAAAAACCTGAGTCTTCTTAATGCCTTCCTTTCTCCTTCAAGTCAGTCAATCAGGAAATCCATTTAACTCTACCTTCAAAACATATCTGAAATACAAGCACTCCTGGTCATTTCCACTATGACCATTTGGAGCGAGCCACTAACAAAAATATATCTTCTAATCCAACAACAAGCTCCTAATTAGGCCCCCCTCTCTTTATCTTTCTCCCCTACATTCTATTCTCAACAGAGCATCCAGAGTCACCTTTTTATTTTTTTTTTTAACGTTTATTTATTTTTGAGACAGAGAGAGACAGAGCATGAACGGGGGAGGGTCAGAGAGAGGGAGACACAGAATCTGAAACAGGCTCCAGGCTCTGAGCTGTAAGCACAGAGCCCGACGTGGGGCTCAAACTCACGAACTGTGAGATCGTGACCTGAGCCGAAGTCAGACGCTTAACCGACTGAGCCACCCAGGCGCCCCCAGAGTGACCTTTTTAAATATAAATTTAATTTTGTCAAATTAATTAATTTTGACAAAATTAATTTTGTCCTCTACTCAAAACTGTCACAGCTCTCTGTCTGACTCACAGCAGAGTCAAAGTCCCCTCACAGTGGCCTACAAAACCTTATCTCTTACCACTCTTCCCTCAGTCACCATGCTTCAGCCACACAGGACTCCTTGCTGTTTCTCAAATATGCTAGGCATTGTCCTGTTCCTTAGGACCTTTACACCAGATGTTCCCACTGCCTAAACTCTCTTTTCTGAGCTCATAGAGAGGACTTTGTGTCCTTCAAGTCTTGACTCAAATGCCTCTTCTGTATTAGTAGGTTTATGAGTTGTGATAATCATATTGTAGTTATACAAGAAAACGTCCCTATGTTTTAGAGATGCGTACTACAGTATATAGAGGTAAATTACATTGTGTCAGGAATTTTTTTTTAAATCTTTGGTAAAAAAAGAAGAAAAAGCAAAAATAGGACACATGAAGCAAGTGTGGCAAAATTTTGGTAACTGGTATATCTGAGTGATAAGCATATGGAGATTCATTATGCCATTCTCATTACTTTTGTGTAAGCTTGAAATTTTTCATTATAAAATTAATGTTTAATGTTAGTGTAATGTACCTTATTTGAAAACTTAAAATGGACAAAAAAGAACCCATATGTCCTTTTCCCTCTACTTTACTCAACTTTTTCTTGTCCCATAGCATGTACCCTCTAACGTATGTTATGTGCCTCTATAAGAACATAGAGGGCCAGGGTCTTTGTTTCATTCACTGTTGAATCCAAAGTGCCTAGGACAATAGCTGGTACATCAGTAAGTGCTTAAGAGATATTTAAAGAATGAATGATGAATGAATGAATAATGAATGGATACCAAACTTTCAAGAATTAACTAAAGAGGGAATCTTCTCATGTGCTGAATTATGTATACCTCCTCTTACTTCTACACAGCCCTCCTCTAACACTTAGTACACTCTATTTGGAATAATCTTCTTCTCTAACATACCAGCCTGTACACTCCTTCAGGGCAAAATTGCCTTTTGTATTCCAGACACTGTCTGACATGTAAGCAATCATTAAAAATGATTTCTCCCCCACATCCATTCCTCTTCGGCTAGATGAAGGAAAGACTGAATAAATGAATAAATTATCAGCTAGTATTCATCTTCATCCCTCTATTGGAGCACTCTCTCTAAAGTATCAAAAAAGGATCTCCTTATTTCTAAATCTAAGAGCTGTTGTCCATCCACATCTTTTCTGAACTCCATGTAGTAGCTGACTTTTTTTTTTTCATTTTTTTTTTTTTAACATTTACTCATTTTTGAGAGAGAGACAGAGCATGAACGGGGGAAGGTCAGAGAGAGAGGGAGACACAGAATCCGAAACAGGCTCCAGGCTCTGAGCTGTCAGCACAGAGCCCGACATGGGGCTCGAACTCACAGACCACGAGATCATGACCTGAGCGAAGTCGGACGTCCAACCGACTGAGCCACCCAGGCGCCCCAGTAGCTGACTTTTTTAAATTAAAACAGAGAGAGTTAAGGGAGAACATCTTTAAGATTTCTAACTGCCTTCCATTAATGAATTATCCTAGCTCTAAATGCTTATTCTCTGCCCTTTCTCCTATCCTAAGCACAGACATTTTCTAAGTTCCATCTTTGGAACTCTTCTCAATTCTATTGCCCCAATCCAGGGACTCCACTAGCCCACAGAGAAACTTGAAATGAATTAGACAATAGCAACCCCTCTGGGGTAGATGCAACCTCACCATGAAGCACTGATTGAGTTTTAGGCCACATCTGCTCCATCAGCAGGAAGCTTTTGTTTGGTTGAACAGTGTGCACACCAATCATACAAGGAAGCCCTTCCCCAGTCCCACAGATTCGACTACAGTTGATCTCTGAACAACAAGGGTTTGAACTGTAATGATCCACTTATTTTTTTAATAAATACAGTAAAATACTACAAATGTGTTTTCTCTTAGGATTTTTTAATGACATTTTCCTTTCTCTAGCTCATTTATTATAAGAATACAGTAAATAACATATAACACACAGAATGTGTGTAAATCACCCACTTATGTTATCAGTAAGACTTACAGTCAGTAGTAGGTTATTAGTAGTTAAGTTTTGGGGGAGTCAGACATTCTACACAGATTTTCAACTACACAGGGGTCAGCTCCCAACCTCCTCATTATTCAAAAGTCAACTGTATTACCTTTCCATGGATGCGCTGGAAAATATATTTTTCTAGTCTTGTAGTGGACACCTATCACTTTTTCTTGCCATGGTATCTAATCTCCCTTCTACATTTGGGGATTCTACATTTTAAGCCAAGAGTCCTCCTTCTGCAAAAGAAGTTAAAAATGCCACCTACTTTTTTCCCCAGCCTTTCCTGCAGTTAAAGCCCAGACACAAGACCTAATCTCCCCAATGAGACACATACATCACTTACTTTGAATCAGAATCTTGTAACAGAAGTAGGGACATGAATAGAGACAATTCTGTCAATGAGTGGCAGAGGCAACAGCCACCTCAAGTTCCCAGTCTCAGGAGTGGCAGATATTCTAAGGGTAGGGAGCAGTGTCAGTGGTGTCAGCCAAACAACCTACCGTGTTTGTGTCCTGCACCAGGAGCACCACTCTCTAGACCAAACCAATAAAGGAACATGATGGATTTGAGGCTATTTTTTGGCTATATAACTTCTGAACTCAGACTCTTCAGCGCTCCTAGAGATTATGGAACCATCATCTCTAGCCTGGATTACAGCAACAGTCTCCCAAAGTTGATCTCCTTAGTAACACAATGGAAGACTGTTACTTTAATTATTTTAATTAATTCTTTCTCGACCTCCCCAAACAATTCATCCATATCACTAATGAATTCCAGGGTGCCAAATCTAGTGGACCCCTTTCTGTCCTCATCTTCCTAGAACTCTCAGAGGCATTCAAAGCAGTGGGGCCACTCCCTCCTATATACACATTTTCTCTTGACTATTATGACACCACACTCTCCTATTTTTCTTTTTCTCCAAGGACTCCTCTATTTCTCTTACAGGTTCCTCCTTCAAAATTAGACCCCTAAATACTATAGTGATCAGGTGACCAGTCCCTAAACTCTCTCCTCTTTTCCATCGAAACTCTCTAATCTTCTACACTGCTTAAAATTCAAATGAAATGCTAGTGAATTCCCAGGCCTGTCCTCTGCT